GTCATTCACTTCGCGCTCATATACGACCTTGAGTCTCGTCATCAATATTAACTAAGATTAAGTTGCCCATTTTTGTAAGCGTTTTTGATACTTGTACCAGATTGAATGATGTTCATGTCGGTCAAGCAAGAAAAAAAATATGAAAATATACGAGTAAATGTTGAGATGAAGCAACAAATTTGAATTGCTTTTACATTAGCAAGAAGTTGGATTAGTTGTGCTTAGCACGATTCAGAGCACTAAAGGTGGCGTTGCAAATTTACCGTTAATTCACTTTTGGACTCATTTGATCGATTGACGTCATAAAAGCTTTTATATGTTCTTCATGTTTTTCTTCATTTCATCTTTTTACGCTTTTTTTTAACGTCTGCGTCTAGAGGCTGAGAAAGTGCAATATATGTATGTACTCTTTTGTCTCTATCTTGCGTGAATGGAGTATCTTAATGGTTGAACGCTTAGAGTTCATGAACATTTGAATTTTTTTACTTGAATCATTGAATCGTACTTAAAATTTGTAAACCATTTATATATGATTTTGAGTGATATAAATATGTAACTGACGCCTTATTACTGTGTCTTAATATTTTAACCAATGGAAACACCTACAATTTTTTATAGCCTCCGAAAGGCTAATGGGCTCTTATGAGCAGTTATTTAAGGCATTATAAGAGGTGAGACATTTGAGGACAGAAATTCACTCGACCAATCCATTTATGGCAAAATTCACAAAACGAATTCGATGGTTTTCAGTGTCAATATTTATTTGAATTTACGTTTGTAGAATACCAAGTATTTGCCCTCAAAAGCTTTTTTCCACGGACTTTTTACCCAAAACCTCATATATATGCATCAGTTGTATGGTTCAGCCGATATTTGGTGTAAGAATTTCTTAGAATGCATGAACTTTCATGGTTTTTTTACGAGCTTTTGAGCCAAAATCACATATCTGAACAAATCGGTTGTATGGGGGCTATGTATTATAGTAGTCCAATCCGGCCGGTTCCGATAAATCATCAACACAGTATGAATAGATATCTATTTACCATATTTAAATGTTGAAAATTTGCAAAAACTATGGGACTAGTTTACGTAAAAACAGTTGGTCTTGGCTAAATTAATTTAGCTCGCAGTTCTGATCCGTTAGACTTAAATTTTGTGAGTCTATCTTCTCGCATTAGCATTGGCCGAGCGGTGAGCATTGCGCACTACCATTTGGAAGGTCAATGTTCGAGTCTTGGTTCAACCAACATCTAAAATGATAAAAAAATAATTTTTTCTAATTTCGGTCGGCCCTCGGCGGCGAATGTAAAGCCCTCCGAGTGTATTTCTTATACGAAAGAAATGCTTCTCATAAATAAAAATCAATCGAACTTTCGAAAGTGGCTTAGAATAAACTGTACGTGCTTCCATTTGGTTGGATACCATTAGGATTTTAATTTTTAAGAATGAAGCTTCGGTCACTTAGGCCTCTTGTGTGGTTAAACGATGACTTAATTTACATGGTAGTTGTTAAATATATATAAATGGCGATTTTCGGCCGAGCTCCTCCTACAATTTTTACTGTGCGCCTCATGTTTTTCCAACAAATGGTTTACTTTTTTTTCTTATTCTCACAACGTCATGCGAATGTTCAACTGGCTGTGATACAACTAAATATTTGCTCTAAGTCAGAATTTAGATTATCTATAACAACATTGTTAGTTTTGTATCGTTTAGAGCTCGCAGCAAACCAGACGATATCACTACACCCTTATTAAAGACGTTGTTAACGGTAATTAATTTCCTTGCTGGGTATGATTGCAAGTACATTTAATATACAGAAACAAGACATTTATGCTTTTATTTTCTCTGCTTAGGCACATAGGCTGCAACTACCCAACGAGCGTACCAGCCGTCCATAACTGACGACGTTAGTAGTGAAATACATACACGAGCTATCGACGCTGCTGAGAGCTGGCGAAATGTTGCCAGCTGCCTGTGTGTTTGCACACTTTTGAACAAATTCATAATTTTCGTCAACGAATTTCATAATTTATTTGCTTTAACATAAACACAAGGCAAATATACATGATCTATATAGTAACAAATAATTAGTTACGCATTTATTTTTCATTTCTTTTGAACAAAACTACGCATTATCTTCGATTATTTAATGTTACTTTAAGAAAGGCTATACTGGCAACCTTGTATAGCAACGAAAAATGAGCCGAGCCGGTTTTACGGAAAAATCAAAACTTCGTTGTTTTCTGCGACACAAACGTCAGCAACGCTATGGTAAATCGGTGACAACTTTGTGTTTACATGGCGCTCTCATAAGATAGATTACTATGGACGGCTGGTACGCGCGTTGGGTAGTTGCAGCCATACACAATCTTTGGAATAGTTTAAAGATATTTACTGAATATTATTGCGCCTTGATGTATGCTTAGAAACTATTTCAAAATGCTAATAAATTCATTACTCAATTATATGCTTTGGACTTGCAACAAAAGCAAAGACCACTGAAACTATTTAGTAAATAATAAAACGTACTATTTTGGGACAGAAATTCAAATTATGCTAACAACAAAAGAAAGTTCAATATTTTTTCCAAATAAACCCAAAAGACACTTTTTTCTCCGAATTGACAACAAGAAAGTGTAAGTGTTGTGTAAAGGTAATTTGAATTTTTGAGCGCTCTCATGAGATAATCTTATTATCTTACATTTGTCTACAAAAAAATTCAACTTAACTTTTTGACAATAAGGATGTGAAATTAAAAGCACTTACAAAGTTAACTTACTATTGCACCAACTTTGCTACAGATACCAATAAAAATGTACACCAATTACCTTGCATTTTAAATACACGACTACATAAATACACCTATGTTTAGGTATCATTTCCTAGATACAATATATGTACTCGTTTGTATGTTTACATGTTTGTATTGTATAAGCTACATACAAATTCGTACTAAACACACATTTTATCGAAAATTTACCCGCAGGTGCGCGTAACAGCGGCTTCCTTTAAATTGGTAGTATAAATAATTTAGGGTTAAGAGTATGACCCTTTCACCTGCAAGTATTATATAAACATTTATGTATCAGTCCGTGTGAAAACATGAACATCTGTGAACAACTTCTTATTTATACCCACCGGTAACTTATGTACAGGGTATGTTGCGGCCGCACTAGAGTGGTTAGCATCTCGTACTAACATTATGTAGACAAAAATTATCCAAAATTACAGAAAATTAATTTTTCTAAATGCGATTGCCGAGTGTATTTCTAACATGAAATAAAAGCTTTCCATAAAAAACCAACTGCAAAATATATTTTTATCAATAGAAAAACATTAATCCGTTTTGTTACCCGACTTTTGACCATCTTCTAATAAGTTGAATAATTCCACGTACGAAGAGCACTTATTGCAGATTTAACAAGCTAAGGATTGAGCTGACAAACTAAATAGCCTGATTGGAATCGAAAGCTTTACCATTCAAAAGGAGTTTCAAGTGTTTGAGGGATCATCAAAAAGCTGTTAGGTCTGACATTATCATGATGGAACTTCACGACTTTGGCAAGCTAATCAAATATGTAGACTATTCTTCTCTTTCTTTAGCTTTTAGTCCATGGAACTGCGTTAATGTTAAACCATTATTTTTATCACCCTTACACAAGCATTCAGTAAGATACCATACCTCAGATCATAGGTCTGCCGAGCTTGCGTGGACATTTGTTGTGAAAATGTCAAGCGCACACAACAGATTGAAGGGTGAGCTTGACGGAAAATAACTTAAGTGATTATTAAGTGCCAATCACGAGTATATAGTTATGTACATTGTAACGCGTATTCCCTCTTTCGGAAGTAAAATCAATAACATGGAGATAATAATTTTATTTTATTGTGCATTTTTAACTTAGTGGTGAATTAACATGTTTCCCGCATATAAGTATATATGTACATATACATATGTTATGTAATGGCGAGACGTATCGATTTAGCCATTGGCATGTATCCATTCGTGTACTCCATAATTAAATTAAGGATTGAGATATTTTGATTACAAGTACGGAAGAGATTCAGCCCACTTCCAATACAAGAATAGTTTCAAAAATGCATACAAAGATCGCGTTAATTCAGAAACGTGTAATTAAAGTTATATTTGTTCGACAAGATGGCAATCAACGATAAAATATGAGAGTTTTAAAATAAATTTCAGATGTGCGTGATACCAACCACTTTTAGGTCGACAAAATGCCCCAGAAATCACTAGACAGAATTCGACAATGCTTTATATATATACTCGTATATATATAATTCAACCAACTCAATTAATTATTTGTAGATATTGTACTTATAATGGGGGCTATAGTCCCCCAAAAACTTCAGAAATAGATCTACCGAATATATAAGATATCCTCTATTTTCTGTCGATCTGTTAACTTAATACAAATATCAGCCGAGTATCTCGGTATGTTCGGTTGGCCTTTCTTACTTGTCAATATTGTAAACATTTCTAACTCGGAAACCATATTTTTGAAGACATCTAATAAAAATAGTTATAAAAATTTGGTCTTTAGATAAAACTCGCCTTTATGTTTTATTTATCTCTATAGTATGTATGTATGTACACTTGTAGATATATACATAACTATAGGCTGCAACTCATGCTCCCCTAAAATATTTTTTATGGTCAAATTAACATTGTTTCATGTCTTACTTAATATGCTGTGAGCCAATAACGTGAACAACATTATATTATATTCTGAATCTACCCATGAGTGAATGTGTTCTTTCGTAGACCTAAGTACATACGAATATATCTATTTTCTACGGAGTTTAGTAGACGTGCACATAAAATATGCATTTTGTATGCAAACAAATATGAAAATTGTAAAGGTAAATAAAAGCAAATTTCAATATTTTTGAACAGCTTACATGGACATGAATGTACATATGTATAAACATATATTTATGTGAATATAAGTAATACATAAAAAAGTGATTCTTACATTGGCTACAATTTAATTACCGCTTGCGTTGGTCAATGCTTTTCGCTGCAAAAGTATTTGCTCTTTTTTTTGCTTTGAATAGCTGTTACTGCAACTGCTGCTGTAATGTTATACGAGTAGACCCAATAAGTTTGTGATTGCTGGCGTGCATTTATTATAAAACTCAGCCAATTGTGATTAAGTTGAACGAAGGAAATGAGCGTGTGAGCTACAGCTACTAAAATGTTATTAATGCCACTACACTTTAGGAAAATTTCCTAAATGCCTGCATACACACTTTTACTTTACGCTTTAATAATTTTTGCCATCAACGTTGGAAAAACAAACTTAGTACACAATTGCGGAAGTTTTATTTTTTTTTCTTATATTCTGCTTTAACACAAAAAAACTATGTACACACTTTAATGTTCAACTTGCAACGCTAAGCTAAGCTAAATATATTGCCAATAACGCGATTTTCATATAGCATTTATTGAAAATGTGTTTGCTAAAATTATTTTTGTTTCATTTATAGAACTCAAACGAACTCATATATACATATAATATATTTTTAAACATACATATATAAATTATTAGCAATTTTTTTCATTTAGCTATGAATATTATATGTATTTAAATTTTTTCTAATACAAAGAATCTGCACGCACCAAGAAGCACCTGAAAAATGCTTTTGCACTTTAAAACGAGTTTTTCGGAGTAGCACAGAACACGGTGAGCACCATTCAAAGACTGAATTTTGCCTCGGCTGAACGCCGCAGAGTTACCCAAAAATTGTTGCAACTTGCAAGGGAGCAAACGTAGTGCATAGAGATGAGTGCCGAGTGCCGAGTGCTGAGTGCTGAGTGCTGAGTGCGAAAGCATACAAATATGAGATACACATTGTCACTGTAAAGCTTAACATAGCGCTGTTGTAGTATATTATATTATATTAGCTGTAAAATATTGACGCTTTGGAGCCATTGCTGGGGAGTGTTAGTGGCAGAACAACAAACGTGTTGGTATAGAGTAGACTTTGCGGTGTTGTTTTATTATGCGCGCGCATAAGTATTGTACTATAGCGCGTACATACAAACATACATAATTCTATGAACGTCATATATTGTATAAAGGTTCACATGAATGCGTACATAAATTCATACATATGTACAATAAGTTTCATATATATACATATACATATATATGTGTATTTGTTTTTATGCTTTTTTTTACCTTTTATTGCTTTGGTCGCTTGCTTTTGAACTGCTGTTGCTGTTGCTGCTATTCTGCTGCTGCTATTCTGCTGCTGCTTCTACAAGAAATTGACTGTCTCTCTCACCACAGCCAAAGCAGACGTATGGCATTTTTTGAGATTTTAAGATTTAAAATTTAGGAAATATGAGAAACGAGTTTTGGCTTAAATGAAAAGTTAGCTGACACATCCAGCTAGCCATTAGCGTCCAGCTATGAGAATATTTTTGCTCTTATTGACAAAGATACAAAGCAAATAGAAATGCGTTTAGCGGCAAAACTGTATATTTGACTAGCTAGAATAAAATTAACAGTTTAACTGTATACTTGCATACATAAATAGCAAGATAAAAATAGATATTTGAATTATTTGCTCTAAATATTTCATACATACAAATGTACTACATTGCCTACACACAAATGCATGTATATTGTATTAAAAATACATTCATTTCAGTGAACCAAATTTATATACAATATGCAGAAAAACACAACAGAGAGAAGAAAGTAGTCGATCAATTTTTACTTCCGGTTGATATTACAACCATTAAAGGGTTCATAATGACCTTGAAATATGACAAATTAGTTGAGAGCGCATCGAATGCATTGAATGGCAAATTAGAATTTGGTGAGGGTTGGTAGTAAGAGTCAGTGTTGCCAGAACTTTCCCAGAGATCCAGTTAAAAGTGCTAAAAAAGACCCCTGAAAAAGCAGCCACGAGTATAAACAGCCAGAAAATTTTCTGTAGTAAACTGAAAAAGAAGGTAAAGGTATAAAGCAAACAATTCAATTCAGTCATAGCTTAAAAGTAGACTAAAGGTTGCTCGTGATTTTGTCCGCAGTTTTTACCTTTTTACATTATTTATTCTATTATATTGTATTCCATAAACTACTTTATTAGCATATATGAAACAGAAAAGAGTTTTCCACATATTAGCCTGGGCAAGTAGTTACATACATATACATATGTACATATATGTTCCAGATACCAAGCAAATAGAACTATGAATACAATTTTTTCGAACAGATCGGTCCCTGCTTCACTTCTTGAAAGAAAAGTTCTCCACATATTGACGTTGTCAAAGAGTCACCTACATATGTTCCACATATTAAGTCATCGATTCGGCCGCAGGTTCACTTTTATATATATAATGGCGCTTTATAACTGCTGTAGCGATGTTCGACCGAGCTCCACCACCAATTTGTGGTTTTGCGTCTTGATACTAGTTTATACTAAGCCACCTCCGAGTGACTGATGGTTTTTTATGAGGAGACTTTATTTCGTTTCAGAAATGCTCTCGGAGGGGTTGATATTCCCTGCCGTGCGGCGACCGCAACTTGAAAATTGAACTAAATTTTTTAATCAAATTAATTTTCTATAACTTTTGGATGTTGGTCGCCCCAGGATTTCAATCCGGGCCTTCCGATTGGTGGTACGCAATGACGACCCCCCGTCTCCAGGCCCACTTGCTGGAAGAAAAAGTGTTCCCGATATTAATATAGTATGTTCAAAGTTACCTTTGTAGGGTTGTATGTATATCTAATGATAAATAAAAATTTTACATAAAAACCAAATTTCATGTTCATCAAAAAATCTAAGAGCAAAGTCAATTTTTTCGAATCGATCGGCCCCAGATCCTTTTTCTGAAAAATAAGTGTTCTCAATGGTGATTTGGGTATAAAGCTACTACTGTACCAAATTTTATGAAAATCCGCATGAATACCGCATTCTCTCTATCGGCTGCATATGTCATACGCACAGCAAACTCCATGTTTCAGGTATCTTCGATGAGCGGTTAAAGCTGTGGGTTGATTTGCAAGAGTGGGGAGGTTAATTAGTTTCAGACGACTAGATTATATTGAGACACCCAAAGAAGATTTCTCAAGGCAAAGAAGAAGAAAGTGTTTTTGAATGGATTTTATCTTAAACGAGTAAATTTTACACCTCGGGTTCCAAATTACGGACCCGTATTTCACAATAGGTCTTACTTATGATGTATACAAAGCTTTAGTAACGCAACGGTCTTCTATTCACAAACGATCGACATCGAAAACGCTTTCAAGCGAGTTTTGTTTGAGCTCTTTAGCAATGAATACTAAGAAATTATAAAAAATTCCGATCACTGCGATGAAGAACCTCGTTCAAAGACCAATAGTATTGCGTAGAACGTGCGTTTTCATGCGATTTTTGAGGAATATTGTTTTTTGAACTGTTTTCGTTTGAAAATTTTTACAATTTTTACAGAAACGAAATCACTAGTCTTAGTACGAAACCCCCTTTCAACAAGGTGTTAGATGCATAAAAGCCCTTGATACATGCATTGTTTTGTCCAGCCTTGTTAGGATTAGTTAAGAAGAAATCTAAGTTTTCCCTAAAATAAACCATTGTTAAAACAGCTAAACTTTTCTCTGAAAAAAGGAACTAAAAAGAAGCAAAATCTTACTAGAAAAAGTGGCAATACAGATAAAACTATAAGACTCTTTGTTATAGTTAGTTATTATAGCTGCGAAGATGCGCGCTTAGCTTGGGATCCGCAGCATAAAAATTATGTGAAATGAAAAGCCTACAACTACTAACCTTGATGAAGGTGCTCGTAAAAATCTTAAGGTTGGCATCCTTGTATTAGTAAAGAAAACACTGGAGATGGCAAGTCGCAACCCCTAATCGATGATGGAGGAATAAACGTGCAATCAAACCGAGTATGTTTAATTTCGAAAAGCGATGGGAACCGATTAGATACAACATGATCAAGTTCTTGTATGAGACTCTGGTCTTACTTATTCATATTAGACCCGATTTATTTAAAGTATGTCCTCCACGAAATGAGTCTCCGTACGGCACTAACCATATTTTTGAATGTCCACTAAAATCTAATCATGTAATAACTACCCCTCTTTCTCGGGTCCAAGGTCTTCGTTTCTTGGTCTGCCATGAGATAACCATGATCGTTAGTTACCAGTAAAGCTGTTCGAAGCTATTTGAAGGCGAATAGGTGTGATGTATCAGCTTTTTGAAAGTATATGGTTGTCGAAAACATACCTGACAGTTGGAACCTGAGTTTACGGAATTTATCCGAGAGAAAATTATAAAGAAAAATACCAGCTCTTTGTCTATTTTAAAATAGCCTTCTGTTAAAAAAGATGTCTCTACACCGTTTTGTCTGAATTTAGTATTACAGCAAAATTTACCCTGAGCTTTGCTATAGATTGAGCTCCTTTTTGAATGGCTTCTCAGAGCTAGTCGATATAAAACGATTTAAAATTATTTGATGCAATTCCCTCTAGTGGATGTAGAGAAGTACTTTCACGCCGTTTGGTTAGGTTTTTTGATGAACAGCCCAGTTTCACTTGGTGCCTCGAATTTGTGTCGAATTTCGAAATGAAAAATCGACTTGTGATAATTTGGCGAATGTTGAAAAAGCTCGCTAGAATAAATAAGCTCCGTAAAGACATGAGAATAGTTGGCTCATTCACTCTTTAAGAAAATATGATTTGCGAATGGTAGGCGTTCTGAGAATATTTTATGAGACGAATATTTTTCTACTTTTAAAATTTCGTTCTGACTTATTGTTTCTGTGCTCCAGAGCTTCTTCTTGTGGGCATCTCTGACATGAAAATAATAGATTCATACAAAATGAAACTCCATTTGGTGGCGTTTCACAAGCTGTTAGTTCCTCCACACATGCGTATTAAATCGAAATCCATATACTAGTAACTTAATTATCTTCGCATACAAAAGTTTTCTCTTTCTAATTTCGAATGGTCGTCACAGCCGTCAATGACATTGTTATTTCCATCGTTACACGCTTGAAGAGTTCAAAGTTCATTTGCAGCATCTACGTGGTACTCATGCCGACACACAAGCTCGAATTGACTAGACAGTTCAGTGATTCTTTCACTCTTTATATTGTTACACATATTTTTGCTTTTGCTTTTGCTTTTGAATTTACATTTTACTTTACTGTTTTACTCTGCGTGCTCTGGAAAAGCGTGCAATTCCACAAAGCACAATGACTGCCCGATTTTTCCATATTTGTTTTCGATTTTTCACAATTTTGTATAGACGACGAACACAACGCCTCTCATCGCCCTTCGCAATTTAATTCTTTGAGTTATTTTTTGTTGTTTGTTTATTTCAACTTGAGACTGCTTTATATTTCGGTTGTGTCATTAACCTACGTTGACCACCGTTGCATCTTGGCATTGTTGCAATTCTGGTTGTGTTTGCTTGTCGGTGAGCAGTGGAGTGGAAACATTGCTAATTCGGCTTGCTTGGTCCACTAGATCTAATGGAAAAATTGATGTGTGTAATACATTTGATACAAATGGATATGTTTTTAACTGCTGAGCTGATTTTGGGACGAGTTCCTCTATCAATTTGCCGCATATGTTTTGTTGTGCTTCCAAAAGATGGAGTGATCTACAATTTTTTCTAAGCTGTCTTTGAATGGCTGATGGATTTTTATGAAGAGCTTTTTATTTCGTCTTAGGAATACACTCG